AAGCAGTTTGTCTCAGTAGCTGATCTATCCTCAGAGACAATATTGCTTTTGTTCCGTGTTATTATTTATGAGCTTGTAAGTGGGGATTGGGATTTTTATTCAAATATTTGATTCTGTTCGTTGATTTTACAGTGTTTTGAGTTACAAAAATTACAAGCATGAATTTTAATCTTTAGCTGACCTCAGAATGTTTCGCTGTTGCAGAAATTCAAGGAGAGTTAGATGACTTAGAAACCGGTGGAGTGAAAAATCCATTGAGAACTATTGCCTTATGAGAAATTTTAAAGTGAATTTATGCATTTTTATCATTTCTTAGATGCTCCAAGTCTTGAGACTTCGAGGAAAACGGTTTACTAGTTTTTACCAAATATTATGGACAGTCGACATTAAGAAATATTATTTAACAAAATAATATAATTGTCGGTTTCAAATCTTGAATAACATGCAAATTCACCAGCTAATTGTTCCTCACTCAACCGAATAAATTGAAAAATCTTTTATCTAATGTTGAATTATCTGATCGAATGCATCATTCATGGAAATGACACTTAATAAAAAGCTCAATCGGTCTAATCAAGATTAAGGAGATTATTAAGAAACAAAGTGTTGAATCCTAGACTCGAGAAGATCTTGGCACTTAAATCAATCGATTTGTGAAATAGAAAGTGATTTTCTGATTTCGACTAAAAAATAAGATTTATTATCACAGACATGACAGACATGAAAACTGTACACGAATGAAGGTAGTCTTCATTGAACTGTGAGTCCAATTTTATCAAAAAGGGTATGGCACTAGTTACATAAAAAAACGAGTATGGAGGGATTAGGATTGACTATGAAACTATTCTTAATCCAGGACAATTGTAGCCACAAACGAAATGTAAAGTTATCATGATTTGTTACGATTGATAACAGTGAAGATCCTAAAAAACGTCTCGGTGGTGGACCAAATGATGCAAAAGAAATCATGGTTCATGCATTTTTTTCCGGAATCAATTGGGAAGATGTCCTTGCAAAAAAGGTATGATGAAAATAAAAGCAAAATGGGCAATAACACGAACTCAGGAGAAAGAAATGAAAAGAGAAGAAGAGAGAGAGTGATGAAAGATGAAAAAAAAGATAATAAAATAACAATTCTATAAAACCAGTTAATAATCATAGACATTATCATCAACCTATGAAATTATAATAAATACATGCATTATCACTGAGTCAAGTTAACTTGCTCTCTAGTCAGCATTCCTTTGCCTGTCTATCATCCATAATTGAAAAAAATATAACATTGAATCCTAATAACTTCTTGTTTACTATCTTTTTCAGGTTATTCCTCCATTCAAACCAGCTGTTACTTCTGAAACTGATACCAGATACTTCGACTCTGAATTTACTGGGGAATCAGTTAAATTAACACCTCCAGGTCCTAACAATTTAAATTCCATATCGGAAGAGGAAGAATTGCCTTATTTCCAACAATTCTCCTACCATGGCAGCGCAGGAGCTTGTTAACAATGTACGATCACGGGCCAAGGTTGGGCTTAACAATCCTTTTAAAAACGAACCAGCGTAACACAAGCAAAATTTATATACAAAAACTTTACCCTTTTCTTCCACCAATCACACTGTTAATTACTTATAACGTGATATAATATTAATATACACACACGTACACTCAATCAACATCCGATTAACATGGTAAACAAATTATGCTAGAAATATGGATGCATTTGTGAAATCTTCCTCTCGCCCAACATCAGCTTTACAATCGCCATCTTTCCTTCGTAACTCAGACGAATGGATATGGATGGATGAGATGGATGAAGTTTCCATTCAAATTAAATCAAAAATAGAAAGCTTG